TCCGCCGCCGCAGCCCGCCCGAGCAGCCTGTCACCCTGCTCACCGCCGACTTCCACATCCCCCTAACAACCACCGGCAGCAACACAAAGTTATAGACACACGCAGGGAGCCTCAACCAAACCGCACGGCACGGCACGGCCCGCCCATGGGCGGGCGGTGCCGCGCAGGAGCCGCCCCGACGGGGCGGGAGCGCCGGGATGGGGGGAGCCGCCGGGGCTGGGCGAGCTGGAGAAGCTGCCGGGACCGGACGAGGGTAAGGCTTGGCTTCTCGGCGGCTCTGCAGCCGTGTCCCGGCCGCGCCGCCCGGCTGGCGGGAAGGAGGCGGTGGAAAGCGCTCAAGCTTCTCCAAGCAAACCCTTTTTAAGAGTTGCATTACTCCTGTGTCTTTTCTGACTTGTACTCATCGTAAATTATTGGTGTATGAGTTATTCTGGTAAATTCGTAATTTTTTGAAAACTTTAATTCTGCCCAGAGGTGATACCAGGAGCATGTTCAGACATGTCCACACGTGAGCATAATCCCACTGTACCTCCTCCTCGGAGGCTGCACCCTAGCAGAAAGCCCTCCAAAGTAGCTCACTCGAAGACGTAGTTAATTATGGGTTGAATAAAGGGGTGACCCACAAAGACATGGAACATAAAGCTATTAATATGGATGTACCTATAAATACATTATATTGCAACGTATATGCATCAATTCTGACCCAGCTTGGTATCGACCTAGAGTGTGAACTAGGTATAGTCCAACAGTAGTGTCGTCTCTGATACCAGAGACAGACAACTCCATGCTTGAGAAACAGGTGTGCTTCTGAAGCACTGCTGGATAGAATTAGCAGGCAAATTAAATTGTTCCTGATGTATTTAGCATTATAGACAAGCAGTGAGATTTATAGACAAGCAGTGAGATTTGAAAACTATTCAGTTTGAATAGAAAACAGCAAGGCCCCGATCCTGCATGCCTTATACGTTCTGCTAAGTAAGGCCTAAGGCTCTCAGGGTCTAGTTAAGATTTGAATTCAAGTGACACAAGGAATAGTTTGGCCTGATTTTATTACAAGGGACAGCATTTCAGCATGCATACAATTAATCCTCCATTATCTAAATATAGTAAGAGACACTGAATTAATCAGAATGAATGCAGGTTTAAGTAATGGAAATAATTTTCACTGCAACTCCATTTTGGGTCACTACATTGTGCCCTGCCATAGCTTGTAATGTGGCCCCTTATGGGAATGCGAGGCAGCTCAAAAAGACACCAGCCACTCTGCAACTGTGACACTGACATTGACATGTATGATTTAGCAGTTGGTAGGGAGGAAAACTGCAGTAGCATTGAAGAGCCAGGAACCAAGATCAGATGAGAAGGCGCAGTGAGAAGACGCTTAGTCCAATACCACATCTCTGAGAAGCCTCTCCTTGTGGCTTTCAGCAGTTAGCTAGAGAAGGTCAGCTGCAGAACTATGACTGACACTCAGCCCTTTCCCAAAACTTGCTACTGCTTGGGGCTGATTTTGACCAGTGCAAAAACCTCTCCATGGAGTACTTCCTTATGTCCCAAGGTTCCAGGGAAGCCTAGCACTTTGACCTTGGGCTCAATTAGAAGCTGCAAACCTAGTCCTAAATGATATTACCAACTTCATTTATTTATTTAATTGGCATTGCATTACTCTACAGGCATTGCTATTAGGTCTCATTGTACAGGGTGAAGGCCCCGCACGTGGTAAGAAATGCTCCACTCCCTGGCAGAACTGCAGTCTAAGTTAGGCAGGCCAGGGCGGGAGAAAGGAAATAAGTAAGTAGTAACCCTATTAAAGAGATGGTGGACTGAGGCACTGAGCAATTACATGACTGTGCTGAGGTCATACAGGAAGCCCATGTCAGAACTGAGAAATAGAACTGGATTGCCTGAGTACCAGTCTTGGGCCTTTATGGCAAGATTACCTGCTCTCTTCAGAATTCACTGGTACATCAGTCACACAATCTTTATCATATGTCATGGAACCAGTTCCTCATAGCTCCATGCAGCACGTGTATGCCCATAACACTGCAGTTTAGAGGTGTAATTAAAACCACAGTATAATTTTTCCTACACATTTTACTTACAAAAAGTGTGAGCAAAACAGAAAGACACAGAATCTCCTCTTATTGTTGTTCCACAGCTGGACCCCCTGAAATACATATAAAAACTGATCAAAATTTAATCTAAAGCCTGTACAATTTTCAATCTCTTCAAGTATTTTAATGACCCAAGGGTGAGATTTTCAAAAAGGCTCCATTTATGGGAGTTTTATCTCTGACTTCAACAGGAATAAAGTTAGGCCAGCCCTCGGGCCATTTGAAAACCATGCTCACTTACTGTACCTACTTAGCCTGTGAGTGTTTCAGGGCAGCGTTGCGTCTTCCTCTGCATCTCCTTTTATCTACTGTTGCCACTCAAGTTGATGTTGGGAACACGTGTGCCTATCACAGTATCTGATTGCATGGATCTGGCAGGGTCACAGTCACGTTGCAGCTAGAGAAGCTAGATAAGTGTAGGTGACATTTCTGGCTTCACCTCTCTTCTTACACAAATATCTTACCACAGATAAGCTTACTTCAGGTTGGAGCTGCAGTCACATAGATGGTAGGAGACTTGGAACTTTTTGGCATTACATTGTTATAGAAATCTACTGTAAAGTTTAGTGCCGCTCAATAAACTGATGTTATATTGGAGTTATGTTAAACAACAGCTGCATTGTCTACGTGGACCTCACACAAACAAGTATATGATGGGTTGTTTCGTAAGGCACCTGCAGCCTGGTCTCTGAGAAGTTCATGTTCCCTGTGATAACCCTGTCTACTCCTCCCACCCACCCTGTGAGAAAGCAGCTCCCTCAATGTATTTTTTATTCTTCCCAGAGTTCCCTATTATGCCCTTTAAACACAGACTGGGCAAAGGGCAATAGGTTTTGTGGCTGTTTAGAAAGAAATGTCATCTATAAACCAGCCAGCTTCATACCCTGAGACTTTAACCTTTCTGCCCAATTTGGCTAAAACTGGCTAGTGGGTTCCACAGTTGGTACAGAAAGATTGGCAGAATGGCAGATACAGAGCAAGGGTCTAAATTGTGCCATGGAAACATGAAGGGTTTGCCAAAGATGGCTACAGAGTTCTGACTATACAATTTTCCTCAAAGCGATGAACAGCAACTTAAAGATCACTTGAAGTTGGACTTCAGCCTGTGAACTGGCTGACTGACCACCATAACAGAAAGGAGGAGAAAGAAAAAAAGTGCAGTAGCAGAAGGAAATAGTGACATTATTCTTGTGGAGAAAACAACTCTTTCCTCAGGTGATCTTGACAATCTGGGGACTGAACTCCAGGACTGGAAGCATCCAGCTCTGCATACACCTAAACTTGAGCATCCACTGCTGAAGAATTCTTGATCCATTTCTGCACTGTGTGCAGCACAGTGACTGCAGTCACCCACATTAAAAAAACAGGACCACCTTTCTGGAACCAACCACATTTACAGTGGTACCTTCAAAAAACTTGGTCAAATAAGAGCTGTGATGCTGAGTGGGAAAACACAACCCTACAGCTTCAAAAAACACAACCCAACAGCTTCAAAAATTGTCATTAAAGTGGCCTCATGTCTGCTGAAGCTGTGTTGCTTCACAGTCACACCTTGTAGGCTGAGAAAGACTCACCTTCTTGTGGATACAAAACAGTGTTTCGTACACTTACTAACAGCCACAGATAGTAGTGCACAGCTACGCTGCCAGCCCTCTCAGCTTTACTTATGAGGCCTGCAGTACTGGTGTCTTTCTGAAATCCCTCTTCTTAAAGTCCCACCGAAGGTGCATCTCAGCTTCCGTTTTATACCAATAGCCAAGTTCCTGATGTGCCATGGATGTGACCCAACTATACTTTGAAGGCCAGGAGTAAAGGTGGGGAGCAAGAGGAACCAAACACCAAAACACCCCTAATTGTGTGTTTTAAAATCTTTTTTTTAAACCTGCTTTTTAAGCTGACATTGCTCAAAAGCTTGCTGCTTCATAATTTTTGAACACTCAGAGGTACATGCAATTCTTGAGTTTATATCATAATTTTTGAATAGTCGGGGGTACCTGCAATTACTGAGCTTATATTGTTAGGGTGAAGTCCAACTGACAAGATCCAGCGAGGTACTCTACTCTTTTTTTTTTATTTTATTCATCTTGGGCTATGTATATGAAAGAATTTGGATTTTAGGTATTTAGTCATCTTCCCTTGCCTTCTGCCCCATCAGGACACCTCCACGGACCCGGGACGGACGGCTCTTCTGCTTACCTTGGGCTAGTCCGAGGGGGGAAACTGCCCCACCACCAACTCGCAGAGCAACCCGGACACGTCCACTTAAACCTGTCTCGGTTACCTCATGTGGGCTTAATTATGCCCACTTATCTGTTAATTGCTCCGTCATTATAACTTAACACCTTCCTCCGCCCACACGGCGCGGGGCGGGGGGGGAGCGGAGGGCCTGGCCCCGCCCGCGACGGTGGCCCCGCCCACGAGGGAGGCCCCACCCACGACGGAGGGCCCGCCCCCACCAAGCTAGGCTGCGCCGCGCGAACCGAATGATGTCATGCTCCGGAGCCGCGCGTGACCGCCGCGGCCCGCCCTCGCCGCCCATTGGCCGGCGCCCGTGGCTCGTCAGAGCAGCACCGCCCTCCATTGGCCCGCGCCCCCGCCCCGCCGCCGCCCCGCGCCACATAATAAACAATCGAGTAGAATGCGGTGGGGGCGCTTCTGTGGGTACCTGTGGGTGCAGAGTCCGCAGCCGTGCAGGTAGAAAAGCTTTTCCCTAACGTGCTGTGGCGCTTGCACGGAAAATTGCCTTTAGCCAGGGGGTACTGCTGCACCGAGGACCAAGCCGAGCCGTCTCTCGGTTTTCCCCGACCCCCTTGTCTCAAAGCTAAGTTGTGCCAGGCTGCAAGTGCCCTCCGGACTTGGGCTCCGAGGCAGTGCAGATCTGTGTGTGGTGTGAGGGAAGGGTTTGGGTGGGAACGCGTCTGGCAGCCGGGTGTGCAAATCCAGTGTGCCAAGTGCCCAGCGGTAGGGCAGCGATAGGGAGACCTGGAAGCTACACCTCTGAAACTGTGTCAGTGTTGGTTGTCTTCAGGGGACAAAAACTGTCCCAGAGGTGGCTGTCCTGTCCACGTGATGCTGTGTAGAGAGATGCAGCCTCAATCTTTGCTTCGATGTAGTGGTTCTCACGCAGCACAGCCCTAAAATAACCACCTTTCACAGCCCTGCTTCCCTCTACCTGTGAACACGAGTCACACTTGTACAGCAGAGGATTTAATCGGGGATCAGGTGATGAGAATCAGGGCTGCAGGAAAGGATTTACCTTTGCCGCGCTGGCAGCCTGGCCTCTCCTTTGGAGAGCAGGTGCCCACATACGGCCTATTTCACTTCCTTCAAATAATTAATTATTTTCTCCTGTACGTGGTCCCTGGAGGAAGAAGTCTAAGCGCCTCCCTCACACTGTCATCCTCTATTTCCAGTGATCAGAGCACTTGCTCTGGAGGTGTGGGTCCTGGTCCTTTTCCCAGAACTTTGTGTTTTGTTCTCTGAGAGATGTTCAAGGTAAAGTATATAGACACACTTTGAAAAGGAGACTGTTCCTCTCCCTTCCCTATGGCAATGTTATTATTGCTAGGTCATGGCCTCTCCTTGATTGCACCCGTGAATCCTGAATCCCCACCCTCTCCCCCAGGCATCAGTACGGGTTCAACAGGCTGGTTGAAAATGGAGTGCGTGTTAGGCTAGCCTACCTCCCTGGTAAGATATTCTTCTGGAAGGTCAGAGGGAGGCATCTGAACCCTGTCAGGCAGAACGAGGAGAAGCTGACCTTGTGTCTCCTGGTGTGGGGGGCACTGCAAGGCACACAGGGGAAAGTCTGTCTCCCCACAGGAATTCAGAAAGGGTTCAAAGGGGCTGGTGAAGTGTTAAGCAAAAGCAGTCAGCGGCTTAGCACATGGTGGGGAAGTCGATTATAAGCACTTGCAGCTGGTTCTCTCTCTCACACCCTGGAGGAACTGGGTGACTGCTGACTCAGGAGCTGCATCAAGTCAGAGGAATGGGAGGGCGGTCATATTTCTTGAGTGCCTGTGACACACTGCAAAACGATGGGATAGCAATGGGCACCTTCTACTTGCTGTCCCGTCTTGGAAGAGTGATCACAGCAGCGTGCTGTGAGAAGCTGGAGCCCATTGGTATGTGCTGGATGTGCTCTGGGAAGGCTGTGCCACCAAGGCCATGGGTCTCATCTTGCATGGAAACGTGTCTGAGCTCTGAATTCCAGCATTGGGCCAGGGGGGAAGACAGGCACAGAGCTGCCCAACGTGGGGTGGTTCTGGGTATGTGAAAGGCAGAATGTCCTGTATTTTGGGATCCCAACAACCTAAAAATAGTACTCCAGAGCTTCCAGGATTAGGCATCAGTTGAGCAGAGGCTGTTGGGAGGGCAGTTCTGAACTTTAATGCCTCAGTTCTGCCCTAGTCCTGCTTCTGGTACTAAAGACATTACATTCCTTGCTGCTCATGTGAATGTGCCTTAAACATGCTCAGGGCAGGCAGTTATAGCAAACTGCCCTGCAAACTCCTGGAATCTGAAAAGTTGAATTCTTCCATTCACGCGCACCCTTGCCTGGCTTGCAAAATCATTCCCTTCAGTCTAGCAAGCTGCTCTGTTAAAGCTGTGCATCTGGAGTCGTTCACTGCCAGTTTACCTGTGGAGAGGCAATGATACCAAGACCTGATTTTATTTTTTTTATTTATTTTTTGGGGATACCATTTAGTGAGAACATGTAATTTAATACATGCTGAGAACTGATCTGCTGAAGAGCCTGCTGTTTCTAAACACAGTAGCAACTCTTCATAATAGGCATGTTTAGCTTAAAATATATCAAGGTAAAGGCATTATAAGCCTTGTTTAACCCAAACAGATTTTTTCCTTGGAAGCAAACAGGGAAAACTGGGGAGAAACTGTCACAGAGGTCTGACAGATGTTCAAGTGTGTGAAGCTTAAAGAGGAACGTGTGCTATTCAGTTTGCTCACAGACGCTTTGTGACCTGTGTCTTTGCAGCAATGATGACACAAGCTTTTTTGAATAAAAGGAAGAAATTAACCGCCTTGGCTAATTGTAGTTTGCTAGCGAGCTAATCAAGGACACCATTTGACTGTGAAAATTGTTGGTGCACCCAAATCCCTCAGCTGGGGAGAATATCTGAAGTGAGGGTGTTCCCAAATCTATGGGTCAGAAGGGCTATTTAAAAATCCTTCTAATTGGAAAATTAACCACTATTACTTTAAAACAGTGGTGCACTGCTTTGAAAAATTAAGACCATATGGAATAATTTATTACTTTTCAATATTTATTCAGAATCTGTACAATTTTATGTACTTGCTAATGCATAAAGTCTTTTGGAGCGGGAATAAAGCACCACAAAGCATGATTTAATGCTATAGGGTCACCAAATCTGTTTCAGATTACTGGATGTTTCAATCTGCTGAAAAGAAGGGGCTGTCCCTGAACCAATGAAACAATAAGAAGGAAAGGAGGTGAGTTCATAAATCTGAAACACTTTGGAAATATAGTGCACATATCAACAAAAACTTTTAAAGGATTCAGTGGGGATTTGGTCACATAAGAGATAAAATTATGAAACAAATTATATGAAGTAACAGGAAAGTTAAAACAAAGTCAGTATTAATAATACAATACTTGGTTGCAATTTAAGGTATCTTAATGAATCTGACCAGTACAGGCCCACATAAGCATGTGACTGTAAGAGAAAATAGGAGCAAATAATCTGGGAGTGCACAAAAGTGCTTTTGTTTGTAGTTCTGCAGTCACTGGAAGTGCCTATTCTTGTGGTTATTCACAAACACCTCCGGCTCTTTCTTCCAGAAATCCTATCCAAACGTTTTTGTTCTGACTTAGTTAGAGGAGGACTTTGTGCTTTGGCTCTTTTTGTGCGGTTCAGTCTTACGGCGTCCTTCCTCTGGCAAGGGTCTGAAATGGGTCCGATGCCTTAGCTGCCTTCTTTTTTTTTTTTTTTTTTTTTTTTCAGAGTGACAAGCTGTGGGGCAATCTTTGCTCTCAGGGCCTGGGCACTTTCCTTTCACTGGTTCAGCAGAGATCAAAAAGAAGAGGCTGAGTCTGAGAAGTTAACCATGCATGGTTCAAGCCACCTGGCAATGAGCTCTGCAGGCATAGGAGGCAGCCTTTCTCCCTTTATCGTGAACCTGAGAGCAGTATAACCATCTGGCTAGTTATAATTTAACAGAAACCCCGTTTTTCATCTTGCTATGGTGGTGTGCTTTCTTTTAAATGTCATCTGTAGAGTCTCCCAGTGAGTGGAGAAGTTTTGCTTTGTATTTCTTCCAGTTATTGACAAAAACTAGTCCACTAGATTACCATAAACCTAGCCATATTCTTTCTTAGAGGCATGAGCAAGCTGAAAAGAGTTTGCAGTAACTTTTATACTTCAATCAAAATATTTTTCAGTATATATTTGTCGTTTTTAACCAGTAGACTGATTGACTGGTTATTTTATAAATGTTGAAATCTTACAATTTTAGAGGAGTTATTAAGCAAGTAAATTAATCTTCAGCTTTCACGTGGCACTGAAGCTTGTTCTTCACTGTTGTGCTTTCCATCATTCTTTAAACCCTTGGTAATCGATAGTGGTAATTTCAAATAAGTTCAGATCTTTGTTCAAAATAAACTGAGCATGCATGCATCTTCTGAATCAGCACCTTAACATGACCTCTTCTGTCTGCTCAAATTATTAGCATCAAAATAAAGTTCTTCACACAAAATGAAGCCATTTGAATGAATACATAATAAGGATTAAAACAAATACCATGAGGAGTAATTGCTGTCTTCGATTAACTTTCATCCAGTCCATATATCTTAGCCATTGGAAAATCTTAAATAAAATCTTCTTTAAAGTCCTTTCAAACTTTTTTGAGAGTAGTTGTCAGTTTAGGCATGTATCCCAACTTTAACTTGTACATATGGTAAAAATATTACTTGCCCATAGATGGCAATAGCATTACATTGCTGAATTAGCCTATGAAATGAGGGTGTGATGGTGGTGAACATTAACCTTGGGAATGGAAAAAAAATATCTTGCCTTTTTTTTTTCTTTTTTTTTTCCCTGTCTCCAGCAGTGGCAATGGGGACTGTTCTACTTGCAGGAATGTTGGGACTAATCATGTGAGAAAAGATCCTGGAGTGATGAGGCAGCATATTTCCCATATCTGAGGTCAGGATTTGTTCTGTGAAGCTGACCTTTAAAACAGCCTAAAAATGAGGAACGTGGCACCAGAGAGCAGAGCAGGAAGCATGAAATGATGTAAGATATGTTTCTTCTGCATATGACTTCTTTTTTTTTTAAAGCTCCAGGTTTGTGATTCAGCATTTTCTGCCACTGCGAGAATATAAGAAAGGGGAAAATTCTGTAGCAAAAGAGAAAGTCCCTATTGTTCTAAGCAAAATCTAATAAAATATTAGCCATCAGATATTTTTGTTCCCTTCTGTTGAGTTGGGGAGGAGATTATATTTTTCCCAAATCACTCTCCCCTCAACCTCCTGATCTGAGAGCCCTGGAATTGAAGACAAAGTTTTTTTTAGGCACAGCCTGGACACCTTGTGTACATGTAATGGGTGTGAAGTGCCTCCAGCTTTGTTGGCATTGGATTCCTGAGTGACTGCTGTTTCGACTCTGACAAGTGACTACAGGACAAGCCTGCAATGAGAAAGCTCTGGGGTGCTGGTGCTGGGTGGATGTTTGGTGCAGGACAGGCAGCCCTGCAGGAGTAAAGCATCAGCCCAGGTGAGGTTGCCAGCCTGGGTTTGATCCCAGGTGCAAGGTGATGCAAGACGTCAGACACAAGCCCCCCTCTCTGAACTTATGCAAAAGTGCCTTTACTGTCTTTTCTTCCTTATTTCTTGTCTTTTCTTCCTGTGTCCTTCCTCTTGCTGAGATGCACGAGGCCTGATGCATCTGCTGGATGCCCCAGCCTGTTGCTGCCTCTCTGATCTGAGAAACCCTGCTGACCTGTTTGGAAGGAGAAAGTGAGGAAGCCATTTCATCCTTCTCCCTCCTTGGAGACTGGTTCTGTGTTAAGATGGCATTTATCTCTCTTTTTAAAGGAGGTGGCAGTGTTGGGGAGCACTCCCAGGTACTAGAGCTCAGCTGTGTCCATGATGAGACTGGTCCCTGGCACAGTGTTGGCCCAGGCTATTAGCACTATACAAAACCATTCCCAGCTATGGACATAAAAAGTCTGGCTGCAGTGGCTCCACTTTGATGGGTAAGAGAGTTTAACAGCCTGGACATGGCTGCTCTGTGCCCATTGGCTAGTTTATCCCTATGGATGTGGCCTGGGGCAATCTGTGCTCAGAGCGGTACCTGCATAAAGACAGCTGCTTTCCAGTGTTGCATTGTATCATGGTGAAGAAGCAGTGAGAGAGCCTTGTCATGCTTTCTTTTTACCTGCTGAGTTGGCAGCACCAGTGAAGGTGAATGATGGCTGGTTTTTGGTTGCTCCAAATGCCAGACAGAAGGAAGCCTGCTTGCATCTGCCTCAGACTCTGAATAGATTTCTTTTTTTAAGAGTCCTAAGGGACAAGCAAATGGATATGAGCATGTACTGTGAGACCAGCACTGGGATGGCTTGCATGTTATAAATTGATATTGAAAAATGGGTGGTGGAACATTAGAGCCACACAAAATGATTCAGAGCCTGAAGAAAATGCTTTGCAATGGGAGACGTGAAGCACTTGCTCTCCCTATTTTATCAAAAAAAGGCTGGGCAGGGAATTGATTATGATGGTGAAGGAACTTCCTTGGCAGAAAAATATCAGGTACTGAAAGACTCTTTAATCTAGTAAATTATGGGAATGTGTTGCAGCAAGCTGAAACTAGATACATTCATATGAAAAACTAGGCACAAATTTATTGGAATGAAGGTGGTTAATCACCATAACAAGCTGTCAGGGTATTTGGCGCATTTTCCAGATGTGTCCAAGCCAAGACCGGCCTGTTTCTGATGGATGTGCTCTAACCACAGTTAAAAGTGTGAGGGACACTGTAGTCAAGTCTCAGGTAAGAAGGTAAGATTTGAAGGGCTGTGATATGGGAGAGGTCTGACTAACAGTTCCAAAAGGAGCTGTGAAGATCTAATGGTTCCTGTCTGTCCTTAACCTTAGAGAGACTGAGAAAAACAGCACTTAGCAGGAAGTGGAAGGGAAGAATCAGAATGACAGCCTCACCACTGGCACATTTGTGTGCCCTCTGTTTCTGTAAGGACTTGATCTTTCACCTGCTCAGGGCTTTACTAATGTTTGCTCTACACCCATCGTAAGAGCAGCCTTTCTCCAGTCCACAAGCCCTCTGTACAGATTGGCATTGGTGCCTTTCATCTTAGGAGAGCATGAATAAAAATTTGAGATGCTCAGTGGCTCATATGGTAGCTCAGATAAGCAGTTTTCTTTTTGCCTTTTTTTAATTTCATCTTCTTCAGCTTTGGACTTACCTGTCCTTCACTTGCCTGTTCTTCACACCTTCCAGTTTCCCTAGTATCCATTTCCTCATACTGCCTTTGCCACCAGACTCAGTGCACTTTGCTGTGTTGATACTCTCTAGTGCAGGATGTCTTGGAGGGTGCTTCTTATTCATAATTTGACAAAACCAACCCTGTCTTTCTTGCACAGATTTCACACCGGATGGGTATGTTGGTGATGTGCTGTGTAGATAAAGAGCTTGTCAGGAACTTTTTGATAAAGTGCCTTTCATCCAGAAGTACAAATTTGTAGCTGCTGTAGCTATTCACAGGAACATGCTATGGTATCTTAGCAAAATACCTGCAATCTGTATCTAGACAAGTGCTCTAAGCTAATTTTAAAAACAAGACTTCTCTTCTAGAAAAGCAATTGGTGGTGGAAATCAAAAATTTCTCATCTCCTGTTGCCTTTTCCAGGGTCGCAGTACTTTCCTGCTTATTTCGCATCTGCTTGGGATGATGCAAGTACTTTATTCTCTCAGACCCTAAGACAAGTCTGCTGGTTTCTACCCTCTGTGTTCCAGAGGGTAATTGTGCACAAATTCAGAATTGAAACAAGGCAAATGATTTCCACATGGTGTCTATATTCTTCAAACTGGAGAGACATGGATTTGAAAGGTGAACTATTTAATGGGTAAGGCATTGGCTGGATGGATGCAGCCAGAGAGTTGTGTCAATGACTCCATGGAGTCTATGTCTAGGTGGAGGCTGCTGTTGAGTGGTGTCCCTTGGGGATCTCTTTAGTATCTTTATCATTGATTATCATTGAGATTGGGTGCACCCTCAGCAAGTTTGCAGATGACACAAAGCTGAACGGTACAGTTGACACTCCTGAAGGATGGGCTGCCATCCAGAATAACCTGGACAAACTTGAGAAGTGGGCCCATGAGAACCTCATGAGTTTCAACAAGTCCAAGTGCGAAGTGCTGCAACTGGGTCTGGGCAGTCCCAGACATGAGTACAGGCTGGAAGAACTACTTGAGAGCAGCCCTGTGGAGAAGGACTTGGGGGTTCTCAGGGATGAAACACATCCTGGGCTGCATCAAAAGAAGTGTGGTCAGCAGGTTGAGGGAGGTGATTCTGCCGCCTCTACTCTGTTCTCCTGAGTCCCCACCTGGAGTGCTGCATCCAGGTCTGGGATCCTCAGCACAAGAAAGACACAGACCTAGAGGAGGGCCACAAGGATGATCAGAGGGATGGAGCACCTCTCCTATCAAGACAGGCTGGGAGACCTGGGATTATTCAACATGGAGAAGAGAAGGCTGCAGGTAGACCTCACTGTGGCCTCCCAGTACTTAAAGGGGGCTTATAAAGAAGAGGGAGAGAGGCTTTTTACACAGGCATGTAGTGATAAGACAAGACGGAATGGTTTTAAATTAGAAGAGGGTAGGTCTAGATTAGATGTTAGGGAGAAATTCTTTACTATGGGTGTGATGAGATATTGGAACAGGTTACCCAGAGAAGTTGTGGATGCTCCACCCCTGGAAATGTTCAAGGCCAGGTTGGAGAGGGCTTGGAGCAACCTGATCTAGTGGAAGGTATCCCTGCCCATGGCAGGGGGTTAGAACTAGATGATCTTTAAATTTCCTTCCAACCCAAACCATTCTATGATTCTATGAAATGAAGGGGTGGAGTTGTTGTCCCGTTGTCATGCACTTGTTGTCAATACCTACAAAACATTAACCTGGTCCATAGACTCTCTGGAACACAGAAATTAGAGGCAGAGCAGTGCTTTGTACTGAGATCTCCAAATAGTAAGTGAGAGTCCTGAACTTATTTTTATGTGGGGGGAAAAAGCTTTTAAGAATAAGAAATGCTGGGGGGGGGGGAGAAGGTGTTGATTTGGGATTTTGTTTGTTTGTTTGTGTTTGTTTGTTTTAGGATTTTTTTGAGGACATGCAAGCAGTTTTCCAAGCAGTTTTCCTGAAGCCCACATACCTCTGGAAAGCAGTAGAAGTATCTGCATGAGCAAAGAGCTCCAGCACAGGGAAGTACAGAGGATGTAAGAAGAATAAGGCTTTGGCTGGAGAGATGGAAATGGCTTAACCAGGCACCAGGTGAAGTCCTGCAGTAGCTGCTCTTCTTTGCAAATACTGCAGCTGCAAACAGACCCAGGCAGGAGCTGGCCCAGACTTTAAGGAACAAACAGTTTTAGAACCGAAGAGCCCATGTTTTAGGCTGAACTTAACCTATGTCTAAAACTTCTTCAAAACGTTGGGGGAATGTTGCTTTTGACCAAGCTTACTCTGTACCTTGGATTCATTTGCTTAGTCACTGGCCAGATGAAGGTTATTCCTAGTTTCAGAAAAAAGATTTACCTTTGCTCTCTGGCTCAGATTAGTTTACTGTTGTCCCCTCAGTTAATCTGCTTTTACATGCATATCTTGCTGCTAAATGTGGGTAAAATAAGCAGCTAGTCCTTTTACTCCCTTTCAGCTTGTTGATTGCAGGATTCAGTCATATGCATGGTATTGTGTAACTGAAAGATGTTGGCTCTGCCCAGCTGGCTTAGATCTCACCTTTAATCCTGTACTCAAAAAGACCTACCTATTCTGAGCAG